AAGCATGATGGTGGGAGGGAGTGGGTTTGAGCTTGCTTTCTGGCCTCATGTCTTGTCATTGGGTGGCTTGTCATTATTGACACAACCACGAATTCTACCTTGCATCAGAAGATTACAGAGGAGAATGTCAGGTAAGGCCTGTGACCTGAGGCTGGACCAAAAGTGTCTTGTAGGAAAAAAATGATCCAAAACATACAAGTTGGTCTACACAAGAATGGCAGAAGGAGAAATTTCGCATTTTACAATGCCTTAATCACAAGTACGAACCTAAGCCCCCCCAAAAAATGTTATAGCGAGACCTGAAGCGAGCTATCAATCTTCTCATGTCACAGAGCTGAAGGAGTTCTGTGAGCAGGAATAGATCAACTAATCAATGGCTACTGTAAATGTTTAGCTGCATTTATTTCTTCTCAAGGGGGTGCCGCCAACGACTAAATATTGAATGTTGATCATTTGGGGGATAAATAAATGTCACAAGAGAATCTTGTTTCGTGACGTTAACGTTCAAATATGTGAAATGTGAAAATTCTCACAGTTTCTCCGCATTATACAGTACACAGATTAACTTATTCACAGTAATGACTTGTGACAGTCACAGCAGTGGGATAAGTCATGTGATGAGGATATGCCCAGCCCCTGCAGTCACACTGCCCTTAGCATCAGCTTAGCAGGCTGACTGACAAGCTGAAACCAGACACAAGTACAAGATCAGAGAAAAAGATAAAACAGAGCGAACATGACATGACAAAGTAGTGCATGGACTTGGGCAATGCCTGACTTAGAATCTTAAAACATGCAAGGTTCAGATTTTTCTCCTGAGCTCACGAGAAATCCTACCCAGAAGGAGTCAATACAGCACTTTAAGCCCCTCATTTTCTAAAATCTGATCGCCGGCTCCTTCCTTAACACAGCAAACAAGGTTGTGCTAACAATCCCAGCAGCAGGAGAAACTGATCAACTACAGTATAAAAGACAGCCCGGTCTCAAGAGAGGCCGTGTAGCCTGGCCACACAGAAGAAGGAGATCCCATCAACCCCAGAGAACAACAACCTAGTAGCAGAGGTTGCAGCCAGGAAGGCCCATAATGTGGACTTCACAATTCAGGCAGAGCACAATATGCCATGATTGGCATCCATTGCAGTTGGCAACATTATAGTTTACACAGCTCGTTGTCATTTGTCTTGTAGTACGCACTGTACCTGGCTTTCGATCAAGTGTCGAACACAACAGGCTGCTGCTACCCCTGAGGTTCATTTTCAGCCGTATGAACCATTCAGGGGGCCTCCCCTCCCCTCAGGGATGGCCCTGGCTCTGCCTGTGCAAACTCACTACACACAAACACCTGCATGAAAATAAAGGTGGGGCTCTAATATTTCAACAACATCAAACCACTCTGTGAGAGATCACTTTATTGGCCATATTACATTTCTTGTATTAGGAATTTGTCTTTTCGCAGACCCCAACTTGCTCTCCGTGAGGCACACTGACGGGGAGAGAGAAGCTTGGGGTCAGAGCGCAGGGTCAGCCATTTATACAGTGCCCCTGGAGCAACTGGGGTTAAGGGCCTTGCTCAGGGGCCCAACGGAGTAGGATTCCTCTGCGGGTCACGTGATTTGAACCGGCAACCTTCCAGCCACAGGCACAGATCCTTAGCCACAGGCCCACCACACCGCCCGCAAAACAAAATATATACTCATTTAAAACCACTTTGTTCTGATTGATATGTTCACTTTGTGACGTTTGCACGTCCTTAATAATGGAATGTAGTGGCAACCACTTTTTTTTGCGTTTTTTTTTTGCATTCATGCGGTAGGAAAGACAAATCGGGAGTGGGCTGCACAACCCAAGCTTGAAAGTGGAGGTGAAAATGAAGAAAAGGAGAGCAGAACAACGATCCAAATGCGTGATTATATGTTGTGCCACCACAAGCAGAAATGGGGAATATTCTCAAAATATTAGCTGGTGACTCCAGTCCCCAGATCTCAAGGCTCTAGAAATCTTGTGAAACAGAATCGACAGAAAAGAGCTAGAGAGCTGATACCAAAAAATAAGAAGCTACAAAGATAAGCTAAACTAAAGGTGCTATAAGAACAAGTGAATTATTCCTGGCATTCCAAACATTCTGGGAAAATGGAGAATCTTAATTCTAGAACGCCTAGAAAAAAAGCTAATTCTTACACAGGCAGTTAGGAAATAAGTTTTCAGTTTTGATCTGTTGATTCTGTTGAAAAGGTGACTTTATTGTAGTGAGTAAAGTTGTAGTAAATATTTTTATTTTTATTCTAAAGTGATATCTCTGCTTTCAGTTGGCCTGCACTGCTTGTTGCAAATAAATATGTTAATGTATTTCACATACTTGTTTAGATTACCTTTGGCAAATGAAATATGTAATTAGCAGACACTTCCTAAAATTATCAATTCTCTGAAGATGACACAAGATCTCACATTTGTAGGTTTTAATTTCTCCTAATTAGGTAACATGTTGAGAGATCAATGTTTCTGTGACAAGCTTTATATAAATCATTAAATTAAATACACTATCATGAACATTATCCCTTCTTCATGAATATTCACTGATGTGTTACATCTCAAAGGCTGAAGTTTTAAATCTGTAATGGCAAACTCTTCATATTGGAGCAAAGGAAGAAATCATAAGAATAAGGATACGTTTGAATTCTTAGGCAGAAATATTACTATAACAAAAAGCTGGAACCAGGAATGTTCTGAAAGAAAACTAGATGGAGCAAAGTATGTAAAAAAAAACAGGTCTTTGGTTTCCAAATCTGCTCATGTCGGTACTCATTCCAGGTTTACTTGCAGTTGGCGTTGACTGTTTCTATTTTTGGAAAATGTCATTAACTAGTCAGGTTAAGCTTGAGAGATTCAAAGCCACCTCCTCCGGTGCAAACAGCTCTTTCATACCGTGAGCCTGAAGAAGGAAGTTCTTGGCAAGACTGAAGTAAATATAAGGCTGCCAAGAAGCTGTCACATAAATCTGGCTTTCTGTATTCTGCTCATGACTGTCAGGTGAGACAGAGGTGTATTCACAGGAGCAGCACAACGCACACAAACCACATGGCACTTTGACATCTCCCTCTGCATCAGCCAGCAAGAATTCAGCAAATCAAACACAGAATGAAACTAATATCACTCCAGGTTTGTATTGACACTCGCAGACAGACACCTAGTATAGATTTTACAGGGTATAACAGGGACCAGATACGCTTCAAATACCTTTCATTTAAAATAATAATAATAAGCCTGCTTGCTAAGGAAGTCTGGTTTGCCTTAAGCCTTTTTTTTGCCAAGCAACAGAAACATTTATATGTGATTCACATGGCAGAACAGGCACTGCCCTATCCATAGATAACTGCAAAATGACCTCTGATATCTTCATTGTCAGACTGTAATCCATCAGGAAGGCTTCTATAAAACAGCATAACAAAGAAACAGAAATCTTTTTCACACCAGTGCCACTAACAATGTTGTGGTACTTGAGATGTAAACGATCCTTTAACATAAACACCTGTTGTCTTTTTCATAAGTAGCCTCTAAAAGCTCAGTCTCAGCATTTGTATTTATTTTAGCTCCCTCTACGTAATACTGTGCACTTACTACATGTCAAGATGATTTAACATCATCTGCTGTTTGCCCGGTCTTCAATTTGATGTAGATCGCCTTGAATTTCAGTATTTATGTTACTCATTTACTAACTGTATCAGAATTTAGAAATTCATCTAAATTATGAAAAGCAGAGGTCTTTTTACAGTAACCTATGGTAACTCCTCTTATTATATCATCAAAGTCTGAGATTCAAGCAAAGTCTAGCAATGATAAATATATATAAATAAAACAATGAAGGTGAAAAATAAAAGAAACACAGAAAAAGAACCAGGGAGGTACGGTAGCCTGGCTTTCAGGCGGTTTTGCCTCTTGGTTTCGAGGCGCAGTTGCAAACGGGGTCACATTCTGTGTGGAGTTTGCATGTTCCACCAAAGTTTTGATTGTTGCCAGGTATTCAGGCTTTGTCCCAAAGAGGTCCTGTCTCTGACTGGCCATGTGTGCGGATGGGCGTGTGCCCTGCAACAGACCGGCAGGGTGCTGACCCACCTGGTGCTCAATGTTTCCAGCTCTAGGTTGTTGCCCCCTTTACCAGGCAGCAGGGTCTTTCTGGATGGATGGATGGATGGATGGATGGATGTAAAATGACATTACAATTTTATTTCCACCCCCACAATACCAGACCCATAAACCCTTTTATGGTGTACGCACAAGACATGAGACAACATGCCACGTTCTTCTTCATTTGAGATGAATAATGTGTATGTATTGAATCACGAGAACACTTCGGTTACAAAACGCATGCCTTTGCAATCGAACCAGAAATAAGAAGAAAACACAACTGCCTCGAAAACACCTGTGGTTTAGCAGATTATATCCCGTCTTAAATTTTTACAATTAATTAGGACCCCCTCTTAACTGGCTTTCAGAGTGATAATGGCAATGGAAAAACACATGAAATAGTTTTTATTGCACAAAGAACCCCATAAAGCCAACACGATGCAATATGTGTACTAGAGTTGGACTTCATGAGAGCAGGGTGACTCCAACAGTATTTCTGCTGTGCCTTAACTGCCTTAATTCACTGAAATAAAAACTATACACTTTCTCTTCGGACTTGTCGTACGGTGCCCATCAATATTTAATGTCTCCCGTCCTTGCATCTGAGCTGAAGCAATCACGTAATTATGTTTTTATTTTTAATCCCCTCTTGAAAACTTGCTCTGAAACAAAAATCTGAAAATAAAACCAACCACAACTTCATCTTCCAGTGTTTTAAGGAGATCTACAGTATCTTAAAAGCACACCTGCTCATGAATTTACCCACTTTATAATGGAATAAACTGGAAATGAGCAAATAAGCAAAATAAAATATTCATACCCGCCAATAAGCTACAGACAAAACCAGTGGAGACAAGGGGGAAAAAACAGATACTCACTTGTGCATGTTCTCAACTCCTGAAAAGATCATCATGCTGTATGTAATCCCACTTTGAATAAGGAAGTGTAAGGCATACCTATAATCAAAAAGAAAAGATTTCAGTGCATCCGTTTCCTGCACAGCGAAGCCCTTATAATGAACCTGTAAAATCACTCTAACATAAATTGTACATAAAATCTCTTAAAAAAAACAGTGATTCCATTAATCTTTATAAACAGAGCCCAGTGTCCTTGATTGTGTTTCGAAGCAAAGGATGAACAAGCTGGAATGCTGTCAAGTTGGGATGAGGCTGCAGGATGGACAGCAAGTGAATACCCCGGACTTGACAAACAGAGCACAATGGAGTCAGTCTACCATCAATCACTTTTAGCAGAGCACTGTAGTAACTTGAAACGTCTACCCAGACCATCACACTTGGACCTTGTCATCGTCTGGGCTTTTTTACACAACAGTTAGGAGTATCATTCTGCATACCAGTACCACAAGTGCTGACGTCCACCAGGGCCAGTCAACACAAAACCTTGATTCATCACTGAACAGGATTTGACTCCACTGTGAGCACCACCTGAGGTACAGGCAGACTGAAGGCACTAGGGCATTGGGTTTCTTGTCTCTGATTCTCCTTCTTCGTTTTCACCAGGAATGACATTCATCAGATTAAGTCTCATCACCTGTGCCCAATCAGCTCCCTCATTAATGAGGCAATACAGTGCTTCTGCAACAGTCAAACATCTATCGGGTGTATCACTAAGAAATTATCGATTAATCAAAGAATGCCAAAATTAAACCAAAATCTGTGGTGCTCTCTAACCATGCACACACAACAGGCTCAGAACTGAAGAAGGTTCCACGGCTGAAACGTTGTGTTTTCTTTCTTCTCTTTTCAGCAAGGAATAAACCTGTTACTTGTTCCTTTGCAGCCTATGCATGCTGACAAAGCTCCCCACCTGAACTACCTAGGCGATGACTTTCATTTTGATGCTCAGTGTGGTTTGAAGTACACAAGTTATACTCATGAGATGTACAAAAACAGAAATAATGGCAGAGGAGTGGTTCCTAGCCCCGGTGTTTAGGGAACATATTGTCTTCTGGGTATTTGTTCTAGCCAAGTAGGCTGGAAGTACTTTAATCACAGGCTAATTGATTCCCATTTCCTGTTGGAGGCAGTTTGTTTATACAGTTGCTTTCAGATCTTAATGGGATTGTAAATTCTATCACCTCTGTAACAATTTGTGAGTTTCAGATATTATGACACCTGAATAAGGGCGGCACAGGGGTTAGCTTTGCTTCCTCACGGCACGGAGGTCCTGGGTTCAGGTCCAGACCTGGAGTGCTATCTGTGTGGAGTTTTTAAGAGTTCCGAAATAGCCACACGGAAATGAATAAAGTAATTTGTAATTTAATTGAATTCATGTTCTCCCTGTATTCACAGGAGTTTCCTCTCACAGTCCAAAGACTGCCATCCTGCCCTCCCTGACAAAATCACGAGGCAGTTAAGTGTCCTGCTCTAGGGACATTAAGAAGACGACAAGCTAACTTTTGATTAATAGACACACGTGTGTGACTTTACTCTGAATTTTCTGTAACAGGGCCAAAAGCACAGAAGCAAATTACCAGGCAGGGTATAATTATTGGCTGGGCTAACAGAAGGAACTAGCTAGGGACAGTGTCAGGAAAGTACAGGAAAGATGCCATTGTCTGACTTAGGCATGTTGTACTTTCTAGACACAGCGGGGAAAGGGAAATTCCCAGGGCAAAACGTAATTCAGTGCTCTGGCAGAGGTAAGTTATGCAACTTGGCAATATATTTTAGTAGTTCTGGCACAATTAAGATCACTTTATTGGCCAAATACAATCTCTTGCATTAGGAATTTGTCTTTTCGCATACTGTAAACCAGCTTGCTCTCCATGAGAGACACAGACAGGGAGAGAAGCTGGGGGTCAGAGCACAGGGTCAGCCATTTATACAACACCCCTGGAGCAACTGGGGTTAAGGGCCTTGCTCAGGGGCCCAACAGAGTAGGATTCCTCTGCCGGCCGCGGGATACGAACCGGCAACCTTCCAGCCACGGGCGTAGCTCCTTGGCCACAGTACCACCACTCTGCACTTAAGGACATACTGTGCAATACTACAACTATACCTGAACCTGACTTCCTGCATTTCTCCCTAAAACACCTGCTTTGTTTTTCCACCTTTTTTTGGAAACCGCACGTTACAGAAGTGCTGACGCTCATTACTCTTTGGGGCTTGTCTGTGTTAGCATTTTTCTTATTATCACAGGCATTATCTGCTTAGTGTAAAACATGACATCCTTACCTAATGTGGAAACAAAAGGAGTTAAACCTTGTGAATGTCTTACAAGAAACATCCCAAAGGTAACCAGCAAGAAGAGAGTGTGCAGAGCATACTGCTCGTTTGGCTTTTTATATCTAATTGATCCCAAGAATGCAATTTAGTCATTCATTGAAAGTTCCCAGAGAGTCTCCTCAAGTTTTGGTACAACCAATTAGCAAGCAAAATTAATATACATTATCTGCTTTAGTCTTCTTAAAATAAATGATATGCAAAACTATCTCTCAAAGCAATTCTCTAGGGTAACTGGTCCTTTCACAACTCAGTGCGATGAAACAGTTAGGTAATTACTGTGGAGAAGAAGGAGGTGGTCAATACCCACACCAGGAACAGTGGAGATCCTCACAAGGACATTGCAGGGCCTTTAAGTAACTTTATTTCTCATATTTTCCAGAATATACAGTACCATATCACACACATGTAATTATTATAGTAATTAGATTATTGCGTGATTTGAAAGGCAATTAATTACACCAGAGCTCATTTACAATGGCTTCTATTACAGCTTGTGTACACTTATCCAACACATTTTTTTAAGGCTTTCATTTGTAATTACTTTGTATTACTTGTGTTGCACTTTCTGTTTTTCACTTGGAGGTTGTGCGTTACAATGTGCAATAAAAAGGTACATTAAATTCTATTTGAATGTGTTTTGAGTTCAGGCTGTGAGGCCACAACATGCGTTACTCCACACATTTTGTATAGTCTTTCCATAGGCACTGTGTGAGTTACCTATGTGAAAAAAAAAAGGAAAGCGAGACGTATTATCAATGATTCTTCATTGTGATGCTTCAGGTGTCACTCCCAAAAAAAAAAAGAACTTCCAACGTAGTTATTAAAAAAGAAAAACTAAACCTTTTTGCTCATTTATAACACACGGAGGACTTCTAATTAAAAGCAAAAAATGGTATTTTGACACACCTAATACCCTTATCTTCTGTCAGCCATTTTTCACTTTTAAGAGACATATTCCCTGAACCTCAGGTGAACCCTAATGAGACCATGATGAGAGTGTCAGGCCTTCCTTATTCCCTTCACAGCACACTAACTCCTAAGGCACGGAGCTGAGAGCTAGGAGATGGCTCATATGCCAAATAAGTCTGGCTGTTTCAATTCACTGCGCAGCTCACTCTGTGATATGTTTCTGCACTCCAGCCTGGAAACAGTCCATAGTGAGTGATGAGGGGAAATCCTACAGGTCAACACAGACTAATCTTTTTGGGCCACCAGCCAGAGCTTTCAGTCCCTCGATTTCATGTACTGTTGATAAAATTTGTTTAAAAAAACAACACAGTAAATGAGGGAAACCTCCAAGCTTCAGTATTTTGGATCATTCACCAGCCTCAGGATGTTTGTGTAAGGGACAGGCAGAGGACAATAGCATATCTGCTTCAAACACTTGTTTTCCTGAAATACACAAGACTAAAAGCACACAAAACTTTTTTTTTTTAAGTTTAGGAATCTCCTATCATGTCCTGTTTGTTTAGAAATGTCTTGGAGCGCAACACAATCGCTCTGTTAAATAAACAAAGACTTTGATTTTCTAATAAAAATGAGCAAAAAGCAGTGATCCATTTTTCTGATATATATATTTTTTTTTAAACCTGTAGTCAGCCCTGATGGCAAGACCAATTTTAGTACCGGATTTTGAGCTCTAAAAATAATCTCGCCAAGAAAAGTCAATACACTGTAGTTTATGGATCTCAAACATATTTAAATCTCTAATATTTACTTTATCAAATAGTCTTAATGTTTTCTACACAGGATTCTTGGTATCTACTACTAATTAATGAATTCCTTGAATATTTTTTTATCTTTTCACCCCACCACACAAGAAAGCAGGTAGAGAAGTTAGAAATTGCTTCAGCAATTAGATTAAGGGGCAACTATAATAATAATAATAATAATTGCTTACACTTATATAGCGCTTTTCTGGAAACTCCACTCAAAGCACTTTTACAGGTAGTGGGGACTCCCCTCCACCACCACCAGTGTGCAGCCCCCACCTGGATGATGCGACGGCAGCCATAGTGCGCGAGTACTCTCACCACACACCAGCTATCAGTGGGGAGGAGAGCCAATTCATGGATGGGGATTATTAGGAGGCTATGATTGGTAAGGTAAGGGCCAATGGGAAATTTTGGCCAGGATTACACCCCTACTCTTTTCAAGAAACACCCTGGGATTTTTAATGACCACAGAGAGTCAGGGCCTCGGTTTTACGTCTCATCCGAAGGACGGCGCCTGTTTACATTATAGTGTCCCCGTCACTATACTGGGGCATTAGGACCCACACAGACCGCAGGGTGAGCACCCCCTGCTGGCCCCACTAACACCTCTTCCAGCAGCAACCTTAGTTTTTCCCAGGAGGTCTCCCATCCAGGTACTGACCAGGCTCACACCTGCTGAGCTTCAGTGGGCTGCCAGTTGTGAGTTGCAGGGTGATGTGGCTGCTGGTAGGCTACTTTAGGTAGGCCAGACTGTGTAAGCTCCAGTGGGCACTGGGGTTAACACATCCACTCATAAAAACAGTAACATGGGTTCTTTAGACTTCCAAACCAGTTCAGTTTCACTTTATTTGTCTAATGCAGAACTGCAACGATATGCTGATTTGCCTTTATGCTCAAATACAAAGACATTAAGCAAACACCACAAAACAAACAGGACAGCAGCAGCAACGACATCAACAGAGTTAAGTAACATACAATTTAAATAAAAGTCAGCACAAGCAGCGTGCAAAAAAAACAAAACATCTTCAAACAACGTACGAGTCGAACGAAACATGTCTAAATTGTTTGCAGGCCAGCTTGGACAATGCACTTTTCAGGGACGGAATACAGCACATGTACTGTACATTCATCAAGGAGCCAGGAGAAAAGAGAAACAGAGGTCTCCATCACTATATCCAGCTGTCTTCCATGGTGAGTCCTCAGAGATGCTGTAAGTGTCTGCTGACCTCAATTGATATCGGTCACAACCGAACATTTAATGAGCTACTGGCAGTCACCTTATTTTCAGATTTTACAGTAGGGCTTGGGAAATCAGTATCACAAAGCTTTTGTATTTATCCTTGGCATCCGCAGAACTCATAGATGTTCAGCTAAATGTGTTATGTAAAACGTGTGAACAAACCGCAAGATTAAATCCTATTAGAAGCACACCCTGCTCTCAAACAATCCTAGACGTGATAATTTGCAAATTCCTTACTGCCCCATGTTTTCTTAATACCTTCCTAAGGAACGGGCAGGAAACAGTTTTATTGTCCCAGTTTTGTCTTAAGTCCGTTAGTTCGTTAAATATTATAGTGTAATATTGGGAAAGGGTTTGAGAATCCTTTTTTAAATCTCACGCTAAATTCAATCACCACTCTGCAATAGGTGGGGGAAAAACCAACAAAGGGTAAGAACAGAATTAGAAGCTTTCAGAGCATTGAGCTAATAAACCCTATGACCTTATTTAACCAGAATGGCTTTTTAAGTCACTACATCATCAAACACTAATATCGGACGGTACCACTTCATAATCGGGAATGATATATGCTTGTAACGCAGGTTGCAGTACTTACCACCCAAAGCAAAATAGTGCAAGATAAAAGCCCAGAAGTGTAGCCACGACATGTCGGACGAAAGTGCTGGTTTTGCTTGGATGGAGATAAAGTCGGAACCAAAAGGCCGTGAGCAAGGCAAACAGCTGGCAAACCACAAAGTTGACCTGTGGGAACACAAAACAAGCCGTCCGTGAGCCAGCGCCAAGGAAACCGAGCTGGCGGTCCTGAGCTCGGGAGTATAACCGCGGGGTCGACTCTTTTCCAGCGAAAAATCAGATTCACGTCTCGTTACGTCAGGAACAAGGTGCGTTGGACCTTCGATATATTTCTCCCGTCTTTTGCTACGCAGTCCAGAGCTTCTAGCTGTCGTTTCTGCAATGTATGTATAAATCTGTACAAACCGTGACACATTTATAGAGTTGAGACAAAAAGACATAGACACAGGCAGCTTTCTCGAATCATGAATTGGGCTGGTGAAACTGTACTTTCTTTGAAACTAGTTACATTTGATCAGTTACATGGATCAAATTGGTGTGAGTTTGTGTGGCTTCCCATCCAGGGTGTATCCTGCCTTGTGCCCATGGATTACCGGGATAGACTCCGGCTCCCCTGCGACCCTGAATTGGATAGATTGGAATTCAGTTAGGAAATGGATGATTGGAGTTGTTTATTTAATTTTGAGTTATTGGGTTTGCTGGCTGTGCCTGGTAACAAAGACAACTCTGAAAATTAAAAAAGCTAGGACAATAATGCAATGACAAGATCAGTGCCATCATAAAGCACAACAGTAGTGGGACTTCAGTAAACTGAACCCTGATTAACAGGCTTGTATTTTATACAAAAACATATTTACGACAAGCAGAAACTTAAACAATAAGACAAGCAAATGAACATAAAATATTAAGTGCAAAAGCATTATGGTATTTCTGACTGTAATATCGGAGAAAGAAATGTTATATATTTCACCTCTCATTTAATATAAGAAAAATCTAAGGTTGTGTCTGCAGTTCATCCACTTTTACTCCTATGTAAATCGTTCAGGTCATTAACAAACATTTATAAATATTCGTTTTAAAAAGGAAAGATGCATAAAAGAGGTACAGCACAGCCTACAAATCTGCAGCCTGTACTACTGTCTCCTGGCTGGTGCTGTTCAATGTGATGGATCGATGCCAAAGTGCACAATTCACCCCATGGCCTAAAACAGTTCCACTGTGTACATGAAGTCCTGAGGATAAGGTGTTCAGGAGCCTCTAGGGACCTCCTGAAGTCTGACCTCCCTGGCTGTGTGAGAGAAATGGCCAAAACTGCATTTCCCTGGAGCCCAGATATCACTCTAACCTCCATCTCTTGCACTGTCATCTAGGCCCAATGCAGATTAGAACTGGTAAACTGGCTGAAAGTTGAAACAAATGAAATCTTAAATCTTAATCTTAATTTTCTTAATGTTAAGAAAAGAAAATGCTCAAGAGTTTTTCAATAGAGAACCCAGGGGGGTTGCTAGCAGAGGATACCAAAATCATTCTGTTTCATACAGTAGATGGGATTTTTAACTGGAATAGGTCTTTGTGTAATAGTGCATCTTTCTTCCTTAGTGGCACAGCTTTCATCCTGGCTGACACCCCATGGGAAAGAGGCTTGTGTAATACACCACTGACATCTGGCATGGCCTTCATGGTGTTTACAGGGCTGGACAAACACACTGCGGCTCGCCTTGGTAAATTATTTTTGCAGTACACAAAGTGCTGCCTTTTTAAAACACACAGGCGTGACAGACAGACAATCCATAAGCGCTTAAAAAAAACACTAACGCAGCATAATACACATACTGTAACCAAAGTATAATGAGCAAAACAGAAGCACATTGAAGCAACTTAAAGAAAGGAGAAAAATTACATTAATGCACGAAATGCTACAGGAAAAAAATGATCTTTTGTCTTGTTTAAAAAGTGGGTATTTTGAAGGATGGAGCTTGGTCTTTGTAAAAGAAGGCCTGAACCCACAGCTGGAAAAGTACAGGAACCTGAAATTAATAAGGCATGCAGTGCCTCACGAATGAGCAGGAGAGCCTTAAATTGCACTCGAAAGTTCAGTGGGAAACGGTGCTGTTCACAGTGGAAGGGAGTTAAATGATGAAACAGTAGTTCTAGTCAGAAGGCATTCCAGGGTTCTTGGAGTAACCTACCAGATTTCACCTCAGGGGCTGGAGGGTAAGGCATTCCAGTAGTTACACCTTGCTGGTGTGCATAAAAGAGAGAATACAATGGAGATGAAGATGAATGACATTAGGTGAAGCTCATGTAAACCAGTTCACAACTGGCATTTCTGTCCTTTGGGTCACACAGGGCCTGACATAGACAGGCTGTGATACAGAAGGTTTGCTTGACTCATCAAACGTGGAACCAATCTGAAATGCAGACTATTCGTGATGCCCCGACGAGCTCCAGTGCTCCTGCATCAGCAGCCCCGATCACCACGGCGCATTCCACACGTGCAAGGAGCTCATCAGGGCCATTGCAAACGAGATCAGGCCGGGCTTATCAACCTCGTTAAGAACCTCGCACACTATTTAAACCCTGAGGGACCCTTCCTCCGGGCTCTGACATCGAGTTGGCTAACAAGAGTGTGTGTTTGTTCTTTGTTTCAGGTTTTCCAGGAGTTACAGTACCTAACAGTGTTCCCCATTCACAGCCTTCCGGTTCCTGTTTTGCAACCTTACCACTCGCTAACGATCTATCCTCCCTTCCTGTCTCCAGCCCAGATCCGACTGCTTCCCTGCGCATCTCGGCTACCTGCTGTTTTCCTTTCTGCTTCCCTTTACTGCATTATCATCATCCAATCACATAATAAACTCAGTCATCTTCACTGCGAATCGGACTCTGAGAATAAATACTTTGTCGTGCCCTTTTTCTTTCCACCTACGGGCCCGGTGGAACACTATTATTGAGACACTCTGGGGGTACCTTATTTTGAAAATAGCAGGCCATATAAAGTGTGTTACATAATTAAACCGATAAGATGCGTATTCTTGTAGTAATCCATTGCAATTTGAATCCAAGTTAACATTTCTACTATCTCATGGCTGGGAAAACAGAAGCTGCAACTAGAAATGGTCCGCGTCCTTAGTTCAGCTCAAGAAGACAGAAAGAAAAGCCTTTCATTCCTTTGCTCTCTTGTTTTGTAAAGACGCTCAGACTCCGTTTTCTTCATAACGGCACAATGCCAGCACAGCTGTTTCCAAACGCAGGATGAAAAATGTGATGACTCTGCGTTTACTCTCGGATTAGCAGGGGAAGACAAAAAATAGTACTGTAAGTTCTGACAAGAATGCTCTCTTGCTGTAGGGCGTTTAATCACGAGACCGTTTTATGTGCTGCATCCAAACTACTTCAAGGTATCCCAGTAACTGAACAGGGAACAAGAAATAAATGCATGAAAACTCAAACAGGGGACAAGGGCGAGTGCATTATATTTGAGGGAAATGTTACAAATTTTTATTTCCCCCAAGTAGCCTTTCTTTGTTTACATTGTTGTAAGGCAGTTCTGGGGAGTTCATGATTTAATGATGTCTATTCCTACACAGAAAGTCTCGCTCAACTGGTATTTGGTTGTACATTGACATGTACATTTTGGACTGCTTAATACCGCATAATGTTCTGAAGTCTGCAGGACGATCTCTATGCAGGTTTCTGAATTCAACTCTTTGCACACATGGAATTAAGTGCCACAAATATAAATTAATCTGAAGTGAAACCAGTAAGAGGCATTTTGAGCTCTGTGACCTGGTCGTGATTGGATGTCCTTTTGGCAGTATTTGGAAAATATTCCGTCAGGACTCTCTCTACTCCTGGCACAACAGTGACTCCTGCAACTTCCCAGACTCCTCCAAGCACTGGGAACAGACCCATCGGGAGCCGATTGGCTCGCATCATGTCAAGAGACACACCCAGCTCCTCCGTGGGTAAGCAGAAGAGAATGATAAGTTTAGATCACTTTGTAAGCCCTATACAATTTTTTGCATTAGGAATTAGTCTTTTTGCATACCCCAGATTGCTCTCCTCATTCTCTCTGTGCAAAACAGGAGTCCCCGCTGCGAGCCAATATGAAGAAAGAGCCGGGTTTCCGATTCCAAGCACGTTTAAGACAAAGCACTACACAAACAGTGCTCAAAATACAAAATAAAAAAATGAGTACACTGAGGATCTCTCACCCGGTGTACTTTACCTAACAAAATAAAACAGGTGGCGAAAGCATAAATCACAGGCAATCAATCACAGTGATTCAAAAGCAAAAATAGCTGAAGCTCACCTAGCATACTAGAACGCACTGTTCGTTGAGCATGCTGTAACGGTTCATTGATAAAGCTTTCTTAATATACTGATCGCTGCAAAAAACAATGTTAGACATTACCTGCAAGGGTAGATGATTTTGTGCAAGAAAACAGCCCTCCAAGTCAGGCAAACTGAAGGAAAAATGATAACTGATTGCAATTCGTACAAGAATAGTTGTACTAATTGTTCTTGAATAATACAAGAATAATAAAACAATCTATTGAGATGTGGTCTTAGTAAATACAGCAACATATGAATCCTGTACTGCTTTTCAAAACTATCTTGAACAACAGCAGTCAACATATTTAATGGGAAAGAGAATTATGGAATGAAAATGCATTTGAAAATGTGGACAACTGAAACTGACTGACAGCATTGTGAAGCAGACAGCCTCACAATGTTGTTTAGAAGCAGAAAGCCCTAAAATAGAAAGCCCATACAGGTGGGCTGGTCACAGTGGTTCTGCAGTTATTTTGGTTTATACTCCAAAAGAGAAAGTTATTTTGTAATTTTGCCAACGAAATTATCCTGTTACTCTGTAATGTGGAACTTAATTTTTATGTAGTTGCAATAATTGATGCTCTTGAAGCTCCATTCAGTTTTCAGCGGAACAACACCTACAAAACGAAACAATTTTCTTCCTAATTGTGGTGAACTTCAGGATCGTTTAAAACCGTTCAGACAAAGATGGGGGGGAAATTAAATTAGTCGTGCAAACTGCTGTCTGCCTGAAATTATTTTTATCTGCTTTCTGTTACACTGTCACACTTTTTCAAACAGTTTAATCAAAGCACAGTGCCAGCCAGCTCTCAGCTCAACTTGTTTCCTTCTTA